AGGAAAGAAATATAATATTGGCTAATTATCTCATTAAGGTAATCTAAGATAATGGGCAATATTGGAAAAAAAAATGATTTTAAATATATAAAATAAAAAGATTACATCAGACAATATTCAAAAAGGAATGTAATCCTATGTGGCACAAAAGTCAAATGACTTGTATCAAAGTCACCAAATCCAAGGATTAAACCCAACTTCTAGATGAGAATTTGGATCTATATCAACTTTTCTAAAGAAATAACTCTCAGGATTGTAAGAAGAAAGAAGAAGATCAACAAGATGAATAAGAAAAACAAAGAAAACCCATAGAATGACATAAACATTACACCAAAGAGAACGTTTATAGGAAAAAAAAATTTGGTTATTTTTATAGGCTTTTCAAAATTCAAATGTATAGGTAAGAATAAATACAAATATTTTATAAATTCAAATCATACTTATTCAAAAGGTCAAATATAGTAATTATTGGCCAAAAATTAATTTCTTACCCCTTTATGAATTGCAATAAGAGTCAATAGATGTATTAATTAACTAATTATTATGATATAAATCAATCTTTCCCGATTTAAATCATAGGGGCATAATTGGAATAGAAACATAAATTTTAAAAGAAAAAATATATATGATTACATCATAAACTTAAAAAAGTAATGTAATCTTATGCGGCATTCAAGTCAAAGTATTTGGATCAACAACATAAAATCCAATGATTAAACCCAAATTTTAAATGAGAATTTGGATCCATATCAAATTTTCTAAAAAATTAATTAAAGTGTTTATAGGTTATAAAAGCGCTTTCTCTTTTTCACACAACAACATAAAATCCAAAGATTAAACCCAAATTTTAAATGAGAATTTGGATCTATGTCAAATTTTCTAAAAAATTAATTAAAGTGTTTATAGGTTATAAAAGCGCTTTCTCTTTTTCACACAACACTTTTAAGTGGTTTTTCAAAGAGCTCTAGGATTTTTAATAGAAGTCTTAACGTTTCTAATAAAAACAATTATAAACAAAAGTACAAATTACACAGACAGCTTTAAACATGCTCTTAATTTACAAGGATGGTCCTCCTATCCAAAGGAGTGAATTCTATACAAATATGACATAGTTTTTGCTTTTGAGGGACCCATTTGGACAGCTCGACTTTTACCAAAAATAAGAAAGAAATTAAATGTTGATCGCAGATTTTGTTGCTAAGAATCAGTCTATTATAAGTTGCAACTTTATTAGGTTCTAGGAGATTTTGCTAGCATATTCCATGAAGAGCACAGAAGCAGCTGTTAGCTCCACATATCTTTGAAAGAGGCTTTGTACTTTACACCAAAGTGGGCAATCAATAATTGTCATGAGTTAATTGTAAACCATCAATTCATATGGTTATGACTTATAACAACTCTACACTTGAGGGAAAAAGTCGGGCAACTTTTGGATCTATCTTCTGAAACTTTTTGAAGTATAAAGTATAGGTAAGAAAGCTAAATTATTTGTCATTTGAGATTACCTACCTATTGCTAGTTGCATTGAATGGAAAAATAATAATTTAGTTTCCTCCTTGTCATAGCAACAGTGGTGATTTTATGGTTTCATCATGGTTGGAGGGATATTTAGGGAGAAAAATACATGTTTTCTTCAACTCATTATGCACAATGCTCTCTAAATTGTTATTCTTTTCAAATCCTACCGCATTAGGGATCATTATTTAATCCGGGATTTGCGAGTAATTTTCAGGTGTTTTTTTTTTTGTTCAAATTTTTCAGGTGTTTTGAATACACCACATGGTTGAAGAATAATTTAATCCAATAGATTTAGGATATGTGGAATATTTCCACTTCAACCAGCCACATGTCATAAAAAGCAATGCAGTAAGTTGAAGAATAATTCCACATGTCCTCTGTATATTAAAAATTTCTCATAATCTGCAGGCCAAAAAGGACCAGCCCAAACCAATGATATCCAATATAATTGAATATTAATAAATTAAGCCTGAATATGGTTGACTATATTTTCATTTTCAATATAAAAAAAATACATATTTTCATTGGCGACCCCAACCCGATCTAATAGCCTGAAAAAGCTCGGCTCATGTGGATGAGCTTGGACTGAGGTATTGAAACCCAAGTCCGACTCAACCCAACATAAAATAATGTCTATCCCGATAATCCGGTCCAAGCCCCCACATAAAATAATGGCTATCCCAATAATCTGGTCCAAGCTCGTCCCATCGTCGGAATGCTAACTACAATGTAATTGCAATTAAGTACATTCAACCGCTACCTATACGAGGAGTAATATACTAGGTCAAACATTGTCTTATACATACAAACAATAATCCACCACAATAAAGAATTCGTGTCTCAATCCGACAATATAATATAACAAACTATCTTGTAAGATAACATTACTCCCAATCCAAACATAGGTAGTGGTTGTAGTAATTAAGAATTTGATTGCACACATATATAATTACATTACATCAAGCAAAAATAACAGCTCAGCTATGGATCAATGAGGACCCCCCCAACCCAAACGAAGGCACTAGTTCGTGATAAACATTAAAGTGACGTTTTGAAGCAAGTTCATAGGCACCACTAAAATGTGCATAAGCTTAATTAGTCATTGAGAAAGCACATGTCTACTAAGTTAGGTCATGCACCAATTTGCCAACCACAGATTTTACTGGTCCTCACAACTAGAAGAAGAAATTTTGAGTTATGAGAGGTTGACGATGGCCCAAAATATGCTTTTTGGGTTGGTTGAGGTTGAAAGGTGGAGGATCTGCAACGTTAGGTAAGTAGCTTAACCCATAGCCACTGTTGAAGAATTTCCCATACCCAATTTCTTTCAAGTCAAAGACTGTAATTAAGTTGATCGCATCCACAGTACACAGATCATAATGGGTTTTTTCCCGTAACTGATTTCAATTTTCAGTTTCAGTTTTGAGCGGGGATTCGTACCCATGCCACAACTGAAGCTTCTTTTGGTCATTGTCATGCATGTTATTATATTTATATACAAGTCATTGTAGCTGAATATTATATGTGAAATAACATCTCCATCAAACCTCAGTATGATTGAACCAAAAACAAAAACAAAAAAAAACCTCAGTATCCTATATAAATTTTTATTTTTCACATACCCAGGTTTTCATCACTTATTTATAATATTCAATACAAATATCATCCTTCATTATTTTTCAT